CAGGACCTTGCATTTGTCAGGCAGGCACTGTGCCACTGAGCTATATCCTCAGCCCAAGGAGGCTTTTTCAAATAAAGCAATGTTAAGAATACGGTAAATCTATGAATTGTTCAAGATAAATTATGTATTGAAAAGCTATCTATAAAATTATACATGTATATGCAAGCATAATAACTTTTTAAAAGAAAAATTGTGTTTTGATTAGGTAAAGCTATACATACATAAAGGATAATGTTTACAGATTATGGATATACTTTAAACTATTAGGAGTAGAATTGAAATTACTAAGGAATGCAATCCATTTTTTTGCTGTCTTAATTTTGTGTGGTCAGTTTTAATTTTTACACTTATTGTTTCAATCTGTTACAAAAAAATTGCTACTTTTGTAAACACCAATCCAATAAAGATAAAAATTGTGAGCAAAGCTGGAATATAAATAATTTTAGCATAATAAAAACTACCTTGTTTTTCTTTAGTTTTCTCACTTCTGTGTGCCCAAACTAATAGATTATTAGCTTAGCTTGTTTTTAAATTTTAGGAACTAGGGGGCTGGGGATTTAGCTCAGTGGCAAAGCGCCTGCCTGGCAAGTGCAAGGCTGTGAGTTCAATTCCTGGTAATGGAAGAAAAAGACAAAAAAAAGAAATAAATTTTAGGAACTTCTAAAAAAATAAAGCCAAATAATCAACTGTTTAAATCCATTTCATGTTGTGGACTGAGCCACTTCTAAAAAAGACTATTTTAATTAAAGTTCTAGAAACCAAACAGAAGCCAAGCATGGTGGTGCACACCTGTAATCCCAGCACTTGGGATGGGGAGGCTGAGGCAGGGAGATTGTTGCGAGTTCAAGACCAGCCTAGGTTATAAAGTGAGCTCAAGGCCAGCCTGAAAAGCATGGTGAGACCCTGTCTCGAAAAGAGGAAAAAAAAAAAAAAAAGAAAGCAAACAGACAAATGTTTTGGTTCCAAATCTTTGGATTTTAGAAAGAGTGATGAAAAGTAGGGACAGACGTTATTTCATGTTTGCAAAATGTTTTTTTTTTTTTTTTTTTTTTTTTTTTTTTGGTTTTTCTCTGGTACCGGGAACCGAACTCACGACTTTGAGCTTGCCAGGCAGGCGCTTTTAGCCACTGAGCTAAATCCCCAGCCCCTGCAAAATGTTAAGAGAATAAAAACCAGTAAAAAATTATCATAAGCAAAGTGGCTAATTTTAAAAATATATTTTAATGGGATATAAACGACCAACTTACATCTATTGGCAGTGATTCATCTTCTTTTTCCGTTAATCGCATATAAGAACGATCTATAAACCAGAAGCATACCATTAAGGAAACTGTAGCCCATTTTTCTTTCTTAAAATGCAAACAAATCAATATACCAAAGTGGCTGAGTTAGACACTACACAAAGTAATGCTAATCCCAGATTCCTCAAAACCTCTATATTCCAGGGCAGGCAGTCTTAATAAACTACAGGTGTTTTATTCTCATCATGATCTGCTTTGTCACCGTATACAGTGGGGTGAGTATGAGGTAAGTATGAGGCAGAAATACCCAAGCATAATTTCCCCTTTCATTACTACAGTAAAACTAGAAACTTCTAAAACTTTTCACTAAGTGGTCAAAGAAATCAAAATTATTTAAAAATGAATAAGTCCAGAGAAAACCCTAATTCACCCTAATTCTGATCAGTACTGCCATTACAAAGTGAAGTGAAAGTAATACCGCACAGAAATGTTTCTCTTGAGAGAACAAGCTGTGGTAAGTGGTGGAATTAAGAATTGTAAAATATCAATTTATTCTCTACTATGATTTAATTGTAATTCTGTTGCTGCCTTGACCTCAGGAGACAGGAAGGGATAAAGCAAAAGGATCAGGATTTGGAAGCTGATAAAACTTGAATCATAGGATCAGCTCTGCCAGGCATAATGGTGCATGCCTGTAATCCCAGCACTCGAGAGGCTGTGGCAGGAGGATAGTTGCAAGTTCAAGACAAGCCTGGGCTACAAAGTGATCTCCAGGCCAGCCTGAACTGCACAGCAAGACCCTGTCTCAAAAAAAAAAAAGGACCAGCTCTGCAATTCATTGTATCACATTCAAGTTAAAGTATCTTCAGTAATTGTAATATGTACTTCAATTTTAGTGTTAAAATGCGGGAGAGGGGAATGTGTCTTAGTGCTCAACAAATGCAGCATTTTTCATTGCCTGAATTTTCCTAGCAGGAAAATGGAAATAATGTGAGCATTAAATGAGGTTCAGAGCTGGAGATGTAGCTTAGTGGTAAAGTGTTTGCCTGGCATACACAAGGCCTTGGGTTTGATCCCCAGTGCCAAAAACCAACAAACCCACATGGTTCAGGGCAGGACCAGTATACTGCTAAAAGAAAGGTCTTTAAGACAAAATGATGCCAAAATACCATAGTATGGCAAAAGGCCTTAGTGTGCCATCTGCTGTCACAATGTGACACGACACAATTAGTTTCAAAGGTAAGTATTAGTCTGTTGCCAATGTGAGAATTACAAAGAGATCTCATAGTAGTGACAAATCCACAAGGCATGCTCATCACTTGAAACAAAGTACAAAATCCTAATTTTCGATGAATCTAGGACAATCATTTAATGTACTTAAATCCACAAGGCATGCTCATCACTTGAAACAAAGTACAAAATCCTAATTTTCGATGAATCTAGGACAATCATTTATTTAATGTACTTTAGATGTAAAGTAACAAATTGCTTTGAGTGGAAGTATATTGACTCTTTCTTAAAAGGGATTGCATTTAGAGACATATTCTTAAGTTTTAATTTACAGAGGTTACAAGGAAAGGTAGAAAAGAAAAATCAAACCAATACCAAAAATAAGATGTGGACTAACTTCCTACTGTCCATTCCATTTCCAGCCAGCTTTTTTGTTTTCATGAAGCCTGATCTGACTCTTAATAGTATCTCCAGGCAGCTTTTTCTTCATCTATAACATTAAGGGGTTGCAGTTTGGTGATCTCCAAGGGCCCTCTTGCTCTATGATCATGTAATTTTACTACTGAAGCTTATTGTCAAAAATAACACAGTCCTCCAGTGTATTCTATCTCCTCCGGGACGGTGCTTCTCAAATTAATGTCTATAAAATCACCTGGGGATCTTTTGAAACCGCAGATACTGATTCAATAGGTCGGAGGTGGGGTCTGAGCGCCTTCTAACAAGCTCCCAGGTGATGCCCACAATGCGGTTCCATGAACACACTTTGAGCTGCAAGACTCTAGGATACTTTCCTAAACACCCACTTCCTTCCCCGCAAGTTACTGCACATTTATATACCTTTTTTTGGTTGTTTCTTTGAGCCAGGGTCTCACTAGGTAGTTCAGGCTGATCTTCCAATCTCAGCCTCCCAGGGCTGTGATGACAGGCGTGCAGCACCACGCCCGGCACTTAAATACTTTTAAAACATCGCTGTCACTTTATTGTGATTATTTCTTAAGTCATTTGTTTTCCCACTAGCCTATGAACTCCCTTATGGCATTTCTGTATCCATAGCACCTACCCACGGAGCAACTTCAACCAGTTATAGGAGACTGGATTTTACATGTTCTTAAAAACCAGGCCTTCAACCAGAAGTGGTGGCGCACGCCTGTAATCCCAGCACTCGGAAGGCTGAGGCAGGAGGATCGTTGCGAGTTCGAGACCAGCCTGGGCTACAAAGTAAGTTCAAAGCCAGCCTGAACTGCACAGTGAGACCCTGCCTCAAAAAGACAAAAAAACAAACAAAAAAACAGGCCTTCAGACTCGCTGTCCAGTGCTCTTTCCTCATACAGAACCACTGTGCCTCCTTAAGGCAATCGGTACCTTAACATCTCAGTCATTGCCTGGACAGCACAAGAGTACCCAAAATACTGTCCACCTAGTTGTCATGAGGCCATGAGCTAAGTCCTCAATTTCACGCCTTGCCTGACCTGCTTTATGCCGGATCTGACATCCCTTGTCCTGGACTGCTGGACAGATTTCGCTTTGAACCGTTTCCCAGACGCCCCTTCCTACCTTCTTGCAATCTCAGGTGCCCTACACCCAGCCAACTACAAACCCTGCACTGCCATGAGGAGCACTTGAAGCTCTGAGGTCTTAAGCGACCATTCCTCGGACCCTCCGTCCGATAATGCCTTCGGGTTGTGCCCACACACCGCCCCAGGTCTCACACGAGAGAGGTCCCCGTTCCTCGGGCACTTACGCTGCGCAGCGGAAAAGGCGGCGTGTGCCAGGGCAAAGAGGCCAATGCCTACTAGCCCCTTCCATAGCGATGGCGCCATGACTCAGAAGGCGCAGCAGGCCAACAAAAGAGGCGAAGGGCGACGAAATCGCTCCCTTTTCCAACAGGCAAGTGTCCGCACGGCGCAGAACGATGACGTCACTCAAACCCCGGGCGCGAAGCGCCTTCGTGACGCAAGACCCAGAGAGCACTGAGAAAGCGGAAACTGGAATGCCGGGAAGAAGGGGAAAGCTACACGGATAAAGGTCCGCGACTGCCTCTGAGGCTGCTCTGCACAGCCTCTCTGTGAAGGGTAGAGCTGAGAATAGTGAGAAAAAGGGAGGGGAAGCTGGACCAATGGGGAAGTGAAGAAGGAGGACGTTGGGGAAAGCACGGGCCGCGGGGAAGGGGCGGAGCCTGGCGGTGGGCGGAGCCTGGCGGTGGGCGGAGCCTGGCGGTGGGCGGAGCAGAGTCGGGGTTGAGGGATAGCTGGAGGTGGGGGTGAAAGGCGTGGTTGCTCACACTTCTGAGAGTCATTTTTTTATTGGTTGGTTGGTTGGATTTCGTTTTCCTTCAAGTTCTGCCTGTTTTTTCTTTAGGTCTTTCCTGGGTTTCAGTTCTCTGCGTATCGCCACTGCGGAAGGAGGCAAGGGTGTTAAACCGAAGAGGCAGGTGGAGTCTCTAGGACAACAACCGGGCTTTGGTGTTCAAACACTGGGTACAGGGGTCGATCAGTAAATGTCTGTATGCTTCCCCTTACTGTCGAAAAGCCTTAGAGCAAGATTCGCGCCAAAAGGAAGTGTATTGCAGCAGGACAGTTTAATCTTCAAGAGAAGCAGCGTACATTAAGGAAAAAAGGAAAAAGAAAAGAAACGAATGTTGAAGTGTTGTCCCAGTTCTCCCTCTACCCCCAGATAAAAATGTATTTCTTAGTCTATCGCGAAAATATAGACCCTCAGTGGTGAGGTTCTCCCTCTTGAACTCTTTTGCTCTGCTCTCAGCTTCGGCGAGTTCACCTATTTATTCCCTCTTCAACCAACGTAGATACTACATGACTCCAAATCCACGTCTCATCTTTATCTGCATTATCTCTGCTTAGCTCCTGATCTGTATTTCCGATCAGCAGTTGGATGTATTCCCGTGTGTGTAGTCGTGTGGCACACAGGTTTTTTTTAAGAGCAGAATATATTTATTGGGCAAAGAAAGGCTCTGTTGGAGAGACAGAAGGGGTCCCCAGCGGGTTACCAAGGACCCTGCCTTTTTAAGCGATTTTGATAGAGGAAAACCACAAGGCAAGGCGGGTCCAGGGTGGGGAAAAAGGGGAAATCACAAGGTGGGCATGAGGTGGGATGGCACACAAATTTATACGGTCTTTTTTTAAAATTCTAAAAATAAATAAATAAAATTCTGCCAACAATTCGTCCAGTGCCCCCTGGCTGAGTGGCTCAGCATTGTAAACTGCATACTGAAAGATAGTTGCAAAGTATGATTACCATTCTTCCCATTCAACCCTATGGGAATTATATGTTTCTATATATGTATCCATTTGCTTACACTTACTTGCACAAAGATGTCTATCTTTACCACCCCCTTGAAATTTGCCACATCCTCGTTTATGATCCTCTTAACCTGCTCTATTTTTGTATCACCTTCTAATCTACTATATAATTTATTCTATTTATTGTGTTGTTGTTTACTGTCTCTCCTCCCCTGCTGAAATGTAAGCTCCAAGAGGACAGATTTCTCTGTGCCTAGAACGTTGTTGCTTGATAGGCATTCAAAATGTTTGCTCAATAAAGAATGAACAAACTATGGAAAAGAAGTGAGAGGGATGTTTCTGTGAGGGGATCTCTCCAGAGAGTTCCTCCATTATTTTGAATTGAGATCAAAAATCCCTGTGGACTTCTGATATACTGATCCTGAGTACCTTTAAACCTGTAAAAACCCCTGTAAAATAAGGAAGCACCCAAGATTCAGCATATTGCGTCCACTTTACATATATAATTTTTGTCCTGGATTCCAAATTTAAGATATCATTATTTTTCTCTGGACCCTTTCCAATTTCTTTACCCATAAACGAAATTTTTACATAGTACTTAACCAATGTCAAGTATGCTATAATGTATTCCTTACAAATGTGGTCTTATTTACAAGCCTCGTGATGAGGAACAGCCAGCATGTGGTCACTGTATAGTCCACAGGATTGTGCTTCCTTCTCCACCCTTGGGAGTGAATAGAAAAAATATTGTTTAACTGCTTTAGATTGGATAATGTTCAAATGGAAAGTAGACTTAGTTGAAGCAGAAAATGAAGAGTTTTCTTAAAGGATCTGTGATCCAGTTCCTTTCTTTTAAAAATAGGGAGTTACAGAAAAGTAGGGCCAGTAAGGAATCTGACATTTATTTGTATAAGCTATCAATGCATTATCTTAGTCTCCAAGTGATTTATGTCCAGGAATTGAGTTTTGTTTTCTCTATTACCCACTCTCTTTTAACCTGTTAATTATATGTATTGAGCATGATTGTATTTGTCTTATCTTTAGATTCCAATCTGAAGAGGAGCCAAGGCACTTATAGAGAGTTATCAAAGATTGGATCATTCAAATAAGTACCTTGAATCCACTCATGCATGGTTCTGAAAGTTGAAGTTAATCCCAAAGGTGTAAGGTGTAGTTCGTGGCAGCATTCCTTTTCATGAGCTTTTAGAACAAAAATCAAACCTTGTGAGAAAGAGTATATAAGTGAGGCCAAGCATGTTGGTGCACACCTGTAATCCTAACACTGCAGAGGCTGAGGCAGGAAGATTACAGTGAGTTTGAGGCCAGCCTGGGCTAGATAGTGAGTTCAAATCCTATCTGAACTACATAGCAAGACTCTGTCTCACCCCCTGAGAAACATATAAAAATAAATTCCTAAGTGACCCCAAAAATGCCTTTAGTTTTCCCAAAGAAGCAGCCATTCTCGATATGCATTGAAGATAAGTAATGTGAATATTATTGAAGGTGGGGATCATGATCTCTAAAGCATTTCTTTCAGAGAAGTTATTTGTGAAACCATATCAGTTTCCCAGGAAAGTCTGTTGAATAGAGAAAGCATAATGAAGCCAGGCGTGGTGGCGCATGCCTGTAATCCCAGCACTGGGGAGGCTGAGGCAGGAGGATTGTTGTGAGTTCGAGACCAGCCTGGGCTGCAAAGTGAGCTCAAGGCCAGCCTGAGCTGCATAGCGAGACCTTGTCTCAAAAAGACAAAAAAAAAAAAAAGAGAAAGCACGGCTACCAAAAACTGCTTTTGAGTTCATTTACTTTGTTCTATGCCACCCAATTAGATGAATATCTTCATGTACTACTCATTTGTGTGTCCATTTCTCATGCAGATTCTCCATCCGCCACACTCTGTCCTTTACTACCCAGTTCATAAATCCACTTTACCTAGGGATATGTTCCTGACTATTATAGGTGTCTATGAGAGGTATAGATTATTGTAGGCATTAAACCTTTCTTCAAGCTGTTTACATTTAGTACATCCTCTCTGGGTTACAAATTCTGGAATTCAGCATCTTGCTGGGAATACTAGTATTTTCAGTATTGAAATAGCACCCTCTTTATTTTTTCTTTGCAAAAGTGATGTGATGTATAAGAAATTCAGACAACAACAAAAAATGTATTCCTCTTAAAGCATTGAAGCAGTGCCTTGGTATTTTGAGTTTTGAATCTTAGCAAATCTGTGCATACATGATTCATGTTTAAATTTTGATTTTTTGCTCAATGGTTTGTATCACGGTGATTAAAATTGTATGCTCTGGAGTCAAATAGGATTTGAATCTTGGCTTTTCCTTTTTCTACCTCTGAGGGTCTACAGAAGTTATTTAACTTCACAGTGCCTCAGTTTCCTCATCTGTAAATTGAGGATATTATTACTACTTGTTCCATAAGGTTATTGTGAGAATTGAGGGAGACAAAACAGATAAAGTGTTTAAATAGTCTCATACATAGTGAGTACTCAGTGCATACTCAGCCAGTCGTTATTGAATTTTTTTTGCAAACTGAAAAAATTCATTATACCTTTAATCTTTCCTAAAACATCTGTTTCTTATCTCTTTGCTTACTTTAATTGCTCTTCTCTGGACTGTTTCTGATCTAGTGTCTCTTAGGTTTCATTACCACATCTACACAAAGTATCCTGTTACTTGAGGTTGTCATGAGCATTCATTTCAAAGAGCCTTTCTAGTGACACTGAATATCTTATCTGCTTTTTTAGCATATCGGGTTGATCTATTGAGGAAATAAACTCTTGAAAATTCCAGCATCCTTATGCTGGGTTCTAACTTGTACCTGTGACCTAATCTTGGTCTTCTTTGAATATAGACATTTCCTATACTACTGCCTGAGTACTGAATCTCTTTCAGTTTGTACTTGAATTGAATGTATGCACGCAGGGTAATTTAATACCGTCTGCAAACATAAGATGTTCCTTGGCACTCTATGAAATTTAAAGGATTTATTTAGGCTTGGATATGTTTCATTGGTCAAACATTTCTCCTAAATGATGTCAGTAAAGGACTAAATAATAACTACTCTGCCCTCAAAGTGCTTGTGAGGTACTTGGAATAACAAACCTCCTGAGTCCAACACGATAATGCATCAGCAGACCTAGAATAGAGACATTCGCGGAGGACTCTGGGAACCTTTAGGAAGAGGAGTCCCTAATTCAGTCTGAGGGCATCCTGGAAAGTTGGTTGACCTTTGACCTGAGTTTTGCAGGCAAATAGAAGTTAATCTGGCAAGAAAGGAGTTGAAGGCCTATCCAAACAGAAGGAACATGTGGGAATCCATGTGGATGGTGTGAAACCACGTGAAGCATTCAGGAAACTCCAAAGAGTTTAGAATGGCTGAAGTAAAATATATTGGGAGTAGAAAGAGATCAAGAGGCAGTGTGGAGCCAGGACATGTGGAGCATGTGGCCAGGCTAAGGAGGTAACACTGAAGGTAGTCAGGGCTCCTGTAGGACGTGGAGCAGGGTATGACATGTATAAACAGATTTGTGTTGCAGAAAGCACCCCCTCATCAAAGGAATGATTGACAGAGACTAACACCCAACAGAATCAGCAGATAGTAAATATTTCAGGCTTTGCAGTTTCTGGGTCTCTGGAAACTACTCAATTCTGCAGTTATAGGAGAAAAACAGCCCAAATCAGTAAGTAAACAAATGGATGAGACCTGTGTCCAATAAGCCATTGCTTATGGACACTGAAATACCAGTTTCACATAATTTTTTGTGTGTCACAAAATATTTTTTGTCATCCTTTAATGGTGTAAAAACTGTTCTTAGCTTCAGGTCATACAAAAATAGATGGCAGGCTGCATTTAATCCTTGCGCTGTGGTCTGATCTCTGAGTGCGAAGAAGGTAAACAACTCTTTTGAGAAGCTTAACTCTCAAAGGGAGGGGAAAGCAGTGCCGTAGTGATGGGGAAGAGCTGTTTATCAGAAGTGCTCTGAAATTAGGGGGAGCAGAAACAGGCGAAAAGGAGTCACTGAAGATGGTGGAGGGATGATAGTTGAAGGAGATCCTCAAAGAGGCCGAAAAGAAGCTATAGGTGCAGAGTACAAGTCAAGGAATATGCTTTCGAAAGGGAAAATACATCTTCCACTGAGGCTGGTGGGAAGTTGGGATGGATGGGCACTGATGAGATATTTAAGTAGATGGCAGAGTGGGATTTTCCCAGAATGCTTTCAGATTTCCACTGAAAAGGAAGCAAGGCTAGAATTCCAGGTGAGTTTTCTGTCTGAGCACGGGAGTCACTCATGCTGACATAAAGAAGAGGAAGCCTGTGAACCAGATGTCCAAGTATTCTGTGAATGTGTGGGGGCGACCAGGAAGTCATTAGAAGTTAAACAAGGAAAGAAGGTGCCAGAGTTTCCATAAAGGTGGAGGAGTAATGGGTTCAGGACAACCATGCGGAGGGAGCAAAGTGCCAGGTCTTCCTTCTGCCCACGCAATACAGGGTGTGTTGTGCGCCTGTGCATGCTGGAAGGCGGGTGTGTGACGAAATGAATGAACTGCCTCTACTTGAAACAGCATCAGAGCATGTAATGTCCTGGGAGAAGTGTGGGTACTGGTAAAGGGAGGGTTTGGAGGGGCCACTGATGCAGCAGCTGAGGGATGCTTTGTTCACAAGGGAGGATATTCCAGAGAGCTCAGTGGCCAGACCGGCAGAGGGGCGGTGAGAGGAGAAACTGGGGGGAACCAGACTTACCTCAAGCAGTGTTGGCTGAGAAAGAAGACATCAACAGAAGAAAAGTCCGGGACTTGAAGACATTTACAAACTGTGGTCAGCAAAGCAAATCTGTGAGTTTGTTTCGTCCAAGTTCCAAACACTCAGAGAGAAGAAAGTAGTTTGTGTTGAGTTCTTAGGCCTGAGAAGAAGGTATGCTCTTTCACTAGGTCTTCCCAGGCATCAATATAGGTCTGCGGAGGCGGGGGTGTCGTGGGAAACCCAGGAGGGCATCTCACCTAAGTTTCTTCTCTTTTCCAAGCCCATCCCTATACGAACAGGGCAGTGTGGTTCAACTGCAGTCAGGATACAAGGACAAGCAGCTCTGAGGTTTCCTGGGAACACACGCAGACTCAGGCACTAACAGGAGAGAATGGGCACACAGTCTCTGTCTCTGGTCTGGAACAGTTCCTGATCTGGCAGAACTTACAGCAGAACACTATTCAGGGTTTTGTTTTGCTTTGTTTTTAGTTTTTTAAGGCTCATCATCCTCGCAGAGTTTAAAGAGCTGGTTGGCGGGGGTCAATCCACACTAGGGAATGTGACATTGCCTGAATGTTGTTTGAGCAAGGAAGGTATATGTCCCCGAGATGAAAACATTTGAGAACCACGAGTTCTAGGCGGCAGGATAGGAATTGGATTGGTAAAGTCCCCGGATGGGGTCTGAGGGGTTCCTCCCAAAGAGGAGAGAGAGAACTCAGCTCAGCCTGCCAAGTAGTTTCTTGACTCTGATCACAGAAAAAGAACTTCAAGACATGTCAGTGAGAGGCTTAGAAAGGTTTTATTAGGCAGAATTAACGTACACACTGAAAAGAGTGTGGGCCCTTTAGAGAAAGCGGCACTGTAGTCTGGAGTTGGGAATCTGTGTGTGTGTGTGTGTGTGTGTGTGTGTGTGTGTGTGTGTGTGTGTTTTCTTGAAGGTATTCTTTAAGATGGGTGACTAAGATGTTTTGGCTAAAAAACACTCTTTGAATCCTTTGAATCAGTTTCTTCATCTTAAGGTCAGGTTGCTACCTTTTACCTTATCAACTAGGCTTATACTATCTTTAAGGAATTTGGGTGTGATAGGTCTGGAAGGGGAAAAAAAAGGCCAGCCAATGGAATGCAGATATGGATGGCCTTGGGTAACTTTGCATATGGAAGCTGCAGTCCTCTTAAAAGTACAATTCTAAAATTATGATTTTGTCTCCTTTCCTCATGAGTAGTAGCCATGGTGGCGTGAATAATTTGAGAAAGGATACCATACACATTGTTAGAAAGAAAAGAATAAGCTCATTTCAACAATGTGTAGTTGCTCAATACCCAACAGATTGAGGCTTGAAGGGAGAATGGCAAGCCAGGGCTTGAGATGTGTAGCTCCTTCATGTTGAAACGAAAGTTTAGAGAAAACAAAGAGGCCACACAAATGAAGGAGTGATCTGAGAAGTATGGGGAAAAAATAGGAATTTACTGTTCTCTAACACAACGTTCAAGTATGGAGGGGAGAATTACGAAGATTCTGATGTGTAAGTTGGCTGAGAGGCTGAGAACAGAGAAAATACCTTTGGAAAAAGAGAGATGAGAGACAGGGGCCAAAGGTAACTCTGAAGTTGGGGGCATTTGCTTTAACACAGCAGTAAAAAAAGTAACAAGAGGAGAGAGAAAAACTCTCCGCACCGCCAACGAGTTCTTCTTTGGGAAAGGGGAGGACTGAATCTTCTTTGCGAGATTAATGACTTTCTCCGCACAGGTTCCTGATGTGACAGATGACATATGTCAAGTGTGTACGTGTAAAGAAAACCAAATATACAGACATACGCATGATCCAGGACTTTTTTTTATGAACTACTACAGTGTGAGTGTGTGTGTGTGTGTGTGTGTGTGTGTGTGTGTTTTCCAATGAGGACAGAACAAGGGGAATCCGGTTTAAATTAGAGATGGAGATTGAGGCCACTCCCAGGGGGACAACTTCTTAGCCCGTTAAGAGACACTGGGGGACGATATTGAGATGGGCTATGAAAGATCGATTCCCCTGAGAACTCTAAGAATAGGATCAAGTAGACAGAGCGGAACATGCCTCTGCTTCGTTACACCGAGCTGATGTTTCTTTAGCAGGGGCCAGTAGGCTGGATTCGACGGCCTTTGCCTCCCTAGCCGCACCCCAGGGTGCCTGTGCGCTGGCGGAAGGGCAGAGAACTCTGACCAGCGAGCCGAGACAGCTACGGCCCCTTTAAGAGGGGCGGTGGCGGCGGCGCGCGCTCCGACGGCTTTCCTCTAGCCCCGCCTCTTCCCGTGAGCCCTTGGGGAGTGGTCTGACCGCGGGCGGCTGCCGGTGAGCGGAGGGGCAGGGGGTGGGGGGAGACATGGCTCGGCGCGGCTGGCGGCAAGCGCCCTTCCATCGCGGTGTCGGTGTCGGCGTCGGCGTCGGCTTCGGCGTCGGGCCCCGAGCCCGGCCGCTCATGCGGCCGCTCTGGTTGCTCCTCGCAGTGGGCGTCTTTGGCTGGGCCGGGGCTTCGGACGGCGCCGGCGGAGCGGCGAGAGCCATGGACGAGGAGATCGTGTCCGAGAAGCAAGCGGAGGAGAGTCACCGGCAGGACAGCGCCAATCTGCTCATCTTCATCCTGCTGCTCACCCTCACCATTCTCACGATCTGGCTCTTCAAGCACCGGCGGGCCCGCTTCCTGCATGAGACCGGCCTGGCTATGATTTATGGCAAGTGCCTCGACCCCTGGCCGCCCCCGGCGCTGTCCCTTTCTCTGACCGCCAGCTGCTTCGCCTCCTCTCCGAGCCCTGCTCGGCCTACATTCAGCTTCCCTTCTGATTCCCTTCATTTTCTGCCTCGCCTTCCCACCCTCACCCCCGCGCCCGTCTCTCTGCCTCATCTCCCCTTTATTTCTGCTGCGCCCCCCGTTTCTTTACCTCCTTTAGTCCTCGCCACCCCTCATTTCTCGGCCTCTCCACACTTTTTTTTGCCTCCGACCCCACCCCCTTTCTTTCTCCACCCTGCTCCCCCTCCTCTGCCTAGGGAGCTCGGGACCTGGACCCGGGTAGAGGATGGGAAGGGAGTGGGTGCGGTGTCTCAAACTGGGCTGGGGGAGGGGAAGACACCATTGCGATCTATTTCTCTGGGGTGTCAGTTTGTGTGAGGTTCATTGAAGCTGCAGTAGCACCTCTGCTGCCCTGCGTTTGGCACTCTTTAGGAGCCAAAGTCGACCTTTACACATTACCCAGCTCTTGCTATGCCCTGTCCTATGGAGGCTGAAAATGAAAACCTTACTCCCGTGGAGCCCAAGCAAAATAAAAACGTGAACGTGACACAGGTTTGGGGCATTTTAAATGACGCCCTGATTTTCTGTAGTGTGCTTGGGATATCTGATGTGGATACATATGGGTGACCCTGCCCGCTCGGGCTTACAGAAGTGAGGACGAGGAGGAGTTACGGTTCTCTCAGCAATGTGTTGTACTGGGTCCGCGATGATCCGGACCGGTCAACCCAGCAGTAACTGTCAAGCACCATGCATATACAGTATGAGTGTCTTGCTGGTGGCATGAGGTTAGTGGCCAGGTGAGTAAATGGCTTCAGTTCTTCAGTCTCAGTGGACTTTTTTTGAGGTTATTTGAATTTTCGGTGGCAAGGCACAAAGGGTAGATGAACCACGGGCTCAGGAGCGTTTTGAGCCGTGCTTGTTTGGGCCTCAAGTGGGGGAAAATACACATATTGCTGACTATCTTAAACCATGAGAGTGTGCCTGAAGAGATGAGGGCGGAAAAAACAATCCGGTCTGTGCAGTACGTGTGTGAAGATCGTCTTCATTTAGAACAGTCTTAAACAGTTGATCTTGTTGAGGTTTGACTCTGAGACTTGCAGATAGGTAGATGAAGCTTTGGCACAAAAAGACTTTCCTCCGCTCACCTACCCCACCTCACCCCCTGTCCAGTAAATCCAGACTTCTAGAATGTGCATGGACCTCAAGGGTACGGAGGAAAGGTACAGTAGTCATGTGTCTCAGGAGGATGCATGAGCACAGGCTGATTTCTCATTTTTAAGGTAATGAAATTCTAAGTCTGTGCATAAAATCTCCCTGTTCACTAAGATTCCTACTAGCTTTTAGACATACTAGTGCTTCTTTTATGTCATAATTTTTGTATTTCATTTGGGGGCCTCTAAAGGCAGATTGGCCAGATAAACTATAGTTTTATATCTTTTCGCTGTGTGACAGTGTGATTTATTCACTGTCCTCAACACACATTTAATGATTGGTCTAGTAAGCATTAATGTAAGACCTTTGCCTTCAAGGAACTTATAGGTAAGTAGTAAAGGGAAAAATGACATTTTCGATTTGGTTAAATGCAGAAATAAGGAACGGATCACAAATATCTGTTTGCTGTAGAGAGAGAGATAGTATGTTGTGATACTCAAAGTGCAAGGCTTTGACCAGAGGTCAGCATTTTTTTCAGGAAATGGCCTGTAGTAAAGATTATTGACTTTACAGGTCTGTAGATCTCCCTATCTGTGTTGCGTTTTATTCTTTGTTGTTATTTTCTTTTTAAAAACCTTTGCAATGTAAAACTCATTGTTAGTTTTAGAGCTATACAAAAACAGAGGACTGTAGTTGGAAACCCTTTCCTTTAGGGTCAGACTTGGATCCCTGTTCCACTGTGCTGATAGTGACATACAATCTTAGGCAAGACCCTTTTGCCTCATTGTACCTTCTTCTGTATACTGGGGATAATGATTGTGGGATTACTGTGTGGAAGCAATGTTTCAGCTTGGTACTTGACACTGAAGTAAATGCTCAATAAATGATAACTGTGCTATTATTATTATTATTATCATTGCAGTTAAAACTGCATTTTCTCAGGTTAGTCTCAGTTGTTTTAATAACAGTATTATAAATTGAGACTAAGTATTTTTAAAAAAATCAAATAGATGCTTTGAATTATCCTAAAATTATTTGCTCTTCAGTGGCCAGTATCTTTAATTTTATCTAACTTGTGGCCTAAAATAGAAAAATAGGATTTTTTTTTCTTGACACAAAGTCTTGCTCTGCAGATCAGGATGACCTTAAACTCACTATGTAGCTCAGGCTGGCCTTAAACTCTCAGTGATCCTCCTGCCTCAGCCTCCCAAGTGCTGGGATTACAGATGGGCACTACCACCACACCTGGCAAAAATAGAATTTCCGATTGCATTTCCTTAAGTTTCTAATTTCATGGGGAGAGATAGAGGACCTTAGTGTTAGTGTTCTGTGAAGGAAAAACAGGGGTGTCTAGTGGAGTGTGAGCGGTACGCTGGGAGTCAGTCTGAGACTGAGTTGGCATTCTCTAGTTTGTGCCATTTTCTCAGTATGTGCAATGGGGCCTGTGGGCTGAACAGCCTCTCAACTAACTCCCAAGCCCAGTTCACACCTATATGGGACGGGGCCAGAGTATTTACAGTACCACGGAAATTGAAGTTTTCTGATTCTAGCTACTGTCTTTTACCTTTTCTTAATGACTCTTCCACTGCCATAGGTATTATGCTACTATACTAAGATCTTTATTTTTCAGCATGACTTCTCAGTGAAAAGAGAATGCCCACACCTCCACGATTCAGCCTACTGGTGATCTGATTCCTGTGGTGTCGGGTTAGCCACTTAACTCCTGGAAAAACACTATTTAAAATAAGCCTTTCTTTTATCTTTTTGAGAAGCCAGGGTAAAATATTTAAAATTGCTAATGTGGTCAGTTTCCAGACTGCAATGTAGACTAATTGCTCCAATTACAAACATAATCTCAGAACACCCACATGGTTCGTTCAGTGGGCTAGCTTTCTTAAGAAGCTTAAAAATGAGTCACTGTTAGTAAAAATTGTTGAGTTAGTTAATTAAATCTGAAAAGTGATCACTCACTTGTGGTGTTTGCAGATAGTATAAAAAGCAAAAGGTGGAAGAATATTTGCTTTGCTTTAAGCTTAGGGAATCCAGGATCCTAGGCTTAACCAATGTGATTCAGCAATAAGCATTTTTTAAAGGTCTGTGATGTCTGGGATGTGATGGGAAATACAGGTATGAGCCGTAGTCCCTGCCCATAGATCACTTACAGTCTAGTGATTTAATAGATAGCTGATTGAGCATTACAGTGTGTTCAACATTGTGCTAGGCACCTTACAAGACATTTAAAGTTCATAATAATTCTATTCCCTCTCCCATTTTTCAGATGAGGAAATTTGGGCTCAGAGAGGTTAATGACCTACTTGAAGTGACATAACTTGAGCTTAGCCAAGTCAGTATAGTTCAGAAGCTGCATTCTCTAAGCCCCTAACCCACATTGCCTCTCATTGACAAGATAAAACTTAACTGTAGCTGGGCATTGTGGCACATGCCTGTAATCCCAGCACTCGGGAGGCCGAGGCAGGAGGATGGGGAGGCTGAGGAAGGAGGATCGTTGGGAGTTCGAGGCCAGCCTGGCCTACAAAGTGAGTTCAAGACCAACCTGAATTGCGTAGCGAAACCATCTCAAAAAGACCAAAAAACATAAACAAACAAACAAACAACTTAACCTTAAAGACAGTGTAGAGTAGTATTATCATACAGCATACTGGGAAACTGAGGTTCCATTAAGAGATTATCTGTTCATGATAAATGCACTTACCAAACATCACAAAAATATACTAATAGAAATTGAAAAATAAATAATTGAAAAAAAGAGAGATTATCTAGACTAGAACTCAAGGGAGCCAGGATTTATTTGTCTTTCTGACTTCTAAACCTATGCTTTTTCTCCTGCACTGCACTGTACTCAATTTCATGATATCCAGTATAGAAGACAGTACTTAAAGCTGTAAGGCTTTGGAAGGCGGACTGTGGAGGGAGGCTGAGAGGGAAGGGAGACCTCTACCATTCTGGTTTTCCAGAGAACCACCAGCGTAGTAGTTTCGTATTGATCTGAAAGTGAGGACATGATTGGAATTAGGAATTTAGGTTTCAGTTCTGGCTTTGTCACTTGATGACAAGTGATTTTGGGTAAGTCATTTATCCCCATTCTAAAGAAGAGGGAACAATGCTGGAGAAATTTATACATCTTTGTCAGGAGATTACAGCCAAATAAGTTTCTTTCTTTTTTCTTTTCAGAAACAGGATGAGAAATGGTTTGAAATCCTATGTGAAGAGTTCCCTTGGAAAAGAGGTTTATCTTTCCTGAGAGAGAGTTAAAGAGAAATGAGCTTTTATATTGAGATGAGTAGGCTTGGAACAGAGGCTGCCTGTATCAGATGTCCCTCAGCTTCTCAGAAAAGTAGGCAGTGGGGCTAAGGACTTGACAAGGAGGTTAAAGTTTGGAGGAGCCGCTGTTGGGAATGTGTTCAGAGACGAGATAAATAAATGCACATCAAACTAACAGAGGTCAGCAAAAGCCTTGGCTTTCCTGGCTATCTTGAAATTGAATTAGTTCTTAATGGAGAACCTAGCAGCGTTCTTCAAGCAAGTAATGAATGTTTTATTTATGCACATGCACCAAAGCTTCTTAATCTCTAGACATTTTCTCAGTGGTGGTCCACATTTTTGAGTGCCAGAGGCTTCAGGCGTGATAGACGAGAAGAATGGGCTGACATCCCTGGGAAAAATCCCTGGGAAAAATCAGTTTCCCTAACTGGGAGAATCCTGTAAAGGTGGGGCCTTGGGTGATGCTGAGTTCTTATCACTGCCTGGGCGAATTTCCAGTGCAAGTGGGTCAGGAGTGTGTGGGCGAGATAGACTTCTCTGTTTTGTGAAATACTTCTCTTTGTGGTTGTCTTCTTTGTTGCCTGGTAGTGGTAATTTTAAAATTCATAGTATCAATATTTTCTGTGTCTCTGTGTATGTAGGTGGCTAGAGGTTTCTGTTTTATCTTTCTAACAAAGCACTCTTTTTGTGTCCTTTCTCTTTACTGAGAATTGCTTTATCTCCATGTTTGGGATTTGACCTTTTATAGAACCCATAGTAACTTGATCTGTTAGCTTTTTTTTTCATAGAAATTCTGATTTTTCAGATGCCCGATACCGTAATAAAGGTCTTAATTTTTTTCAACCCAAGTAATTATTCTCCATACTGGTTTTTTTTTTTTTTTTTTTAATGTGCCAAGGTGTGTGTTTCTAATCTGCCCAACTGCTGAGCCCTCCTGGGGCTCCCAATGAGGTTTCAGCATAGAGTCCCCCATGCAGAAGCCTAGTGGATGCTGTTGCTTGCATAGTAGGATTTGGAGCTATGGGACAAATTCATGGCATTATTATTATTATTTGGAGCAGCTAATCTGTGATTTTCACATGGTGGGTTTTTTTTTTTTTGGTACCGGGAATCGAACTCAGGACCTTGCACTTGCCAGGCAGGTGGTTGTGCCACTGAGCTGTATCCCTGGCCGTGATTTTTACATATGAAGGAATAACTTTCACTGAGCCTTTTAATTAGGAAGATTTGTGGGTGGTAGAGAAAAGAACCGTTTCTGTGTCATATCTGTGGAATGACTGTATGGATTCTTAGCCTTTCCCTCTGTAAGTCTCTTCTGCCTGTTCCTACTTCACTGAATGACTTTGCTCTCCCACCTAGCTGCTCAGGCCAACTTATCAACCTGGTTACCAGGCCATCAGGCTCCTCTTCACCTTAGTCTTTTATCTCCCTGTCCCCTAGTCTGTCCTCCTCAGGCACCAGCCTTTCTAAAGTGTAATACCTCTAAAACGCCTCTCTTCCAATCACTACTCCCATAGGTTAGGACTGAAGCTCTCATTGCCTGAGTGACTGCAGCGAGCATCTAGGTGACCCTTTGGATCCTCTCTAACCTAGACCTGTCTTTCTAAAATAAACATCTGATGTCAAACCTCTGCTTAGAACCCCTGTATGACTTCATTTTGCTTTGAGAATGAACTGCAAACTCCCGCTCCCAACTTACACAATAGTCTTTTTTTTTTTTTTATTTAGCTCCTACAGCTCCTCCAAGTCTCCCTTCTTGTTAGCTCATAAGTCAGCCCTAATGAACTATTTGTGATTCCCTAAATGGGCTATGTTTGTTTCTTCTTTCTTGACTGCATATGTACTACCATTTCCCTGTTTAGAATATACTTTTTCTTCTATTTAGTTACCTGTTCAGGTGCTACCTCTGAAAAGACTTCCCTAATGCCCCACTCCCTCAGCCTGTTCAGGTGTCTCCTTTTGGTTTTTATAATACCTTGTATTATATTGTATTAGGATTAGTCAGTTGGTTTTTGCTAACTGGACTGACCTCGAAGGAGGATCTTTGTTTTCATCTCTAAACCTAGGGCTCCTACATAGCACATTCACATCTTTTTTTTTTTTTTAATTAATACTAGGGGTTGAACCCAGGGCCTTTACACTGGACTATGTTTCACATCCTTTTTAAAATTTTGAAATAGGTTCTCACCAAGTTGCTAAGTTGCCTAGGCTGTGCTCAAAATTTCAGTCTTCTTGCCTTGGCCTTCCAGTGTATTGGTATTATAGAAATGTACCATCCTGCCTGGCTTCCATTCACGTTTTAAAAAGAATGGCTGATGGGTCGGATTGAGAAGCCCCATGAGGGTAAAGTATACCCAGTACTGAGATATTGTGCATCTTGTCAATAAAGAAACTTCTGGAGGGTTTGGTTCAGTCCACATCCATACAATGGGATATTATTTGGCCATAAAAATGAATGAAGTTCAGATGCATAGCACAACATAGATAAATCTTAAAAATATTACATTAAGTAAAAGAAGCAAGGCACAAAAGACCGTTTATGTGAAATGTCCAGAATAGGCAAAGCCACAGAGGAAGAAAGGGGATTTAGCTTTTTTTGTTTTGTTTTGGTACCAGGAAGCAAACTCACAATCTCGAGCTTGCCAGTCTAGATTAGTTTTTTCCAGGAGCTGGGGATTTGGGGATAGGGCCAGAAGGAGTATTCTAATTCATTTTTGAAGTGATGGAAGTGTTCTAGAAATAGTGATGATTGATATACAATTTTGTGACTACATTAAAGACCACTGAATTGTGTAATGTAAAAGGATAAACTTTACACAGTGGTACCTTGGTTCACAAGCTTAACTTGTTCTACAATTTTGGAAAAGATGGCCTTGTTTGTGTTTATGCAGGAAGGATGGCCATGGTTGTATTTGTCACCTGATGCAGAGTTTGCAAACAAAAACAAAATTTTGCCAAATTCTTCCCTTTGCAAACCAGATTGTTTGCAGACAAAAGCATTCATGAGCCAAGGTACCACTGTAGTATGTGAATTATATTTCAATAAAGCTGTTATGAAACAGTTGATCAATATAGTTTTATAGAACCTAGAAATATGTTGATTGCAGAGCACCAGATTCAGTACTTCTATTCCATGCTTCAATTTTTTTTTTTTTTGGTCTTTTTGAGACAGGGTTTCATTATGCACTTTAGGCTGGCCTTGAGCTCACTTTGTAGTTTAGGCTGGTCTCAAACTTACAGCAGTCCTCCTGCCTGAGCCTCCCAAGTACTGAGATTATAGGCGTGCACCACCATGCCTGGCTCCATACTTTAATTTTGAATCAGATATTTTAAAATTTAAATCTGACCTTTTAGCAGTAGAAGAATTCAGTCAATCTACAAATACATCAACCTTCCAATTTGTTAAATGTATATTCTTTGGCCAGCCACATGCTTTGGGAATAAACCTGGGAAACATACGCATTTAAGTCTTGTAAATTGATGGATAGAGATTTAAAAAATACATTCCTAACATGATCACACTGAGAGATTGGGACTTCTTGGAACATATTCTGTGTATAGATGATTTGAAGGTATTTTCTCATTTTGTTACTGTTCTCATCACTTACTCATATATTGATCTAGAAATATAATGATCTGTGCAATTACCATAGAGAATGTTTTTCCCTCCTGATCCATTGGATTAATGAAGATTGGGCTCTTGGATGTGTGAATTGAGTAGTATAGTACTTTTTAAAATGGGAACTGTATTTGGTCTAAAAATTGAACCAATTCATCAGAATCTCCTTGAAGATTTTCTTTTGTCATTCCAGAGGTACTTGTGGGGTACAAAAACGGGGTTTCTGTCTGTCGGAAACACTTACATTGTTGTTTTATTTCCAGGTCTGTTGGTGGGCCTTGTGCTTCGGTATGGCATTCATGTTCCAAGTGATGTAAATAATGTGACCCTGAGCTGCGAAGTGCAGTCAAGTCCAACTACCCTGTTGGTAAATGTTAGTGGAAAATTTTATGAGTATACGCTGAAAGGAGAGATTAGCTCACATGAACTCAATAATGTCCAAGATAATGAAATGCTTAGGAAGGTAAGTTTTTAGTTAAAGGGAGTCTTTGTTTTCTTAAGTGTGTAACTAGCAGCAAAGTGATTTTGAAGAAAGATAATGAATTTTTAATATTTAAAATGGTTTGTCTTTTAAAATGGTGTTAAACCTTAGTTAATAACTAATAATGTAAGGAAATAGATATTTCTAGAAATTATATTTTCTGATTGAGGCTAAGTGCTATAACCCTTTTTTGTTTCAATTTTTGTTTTCTATAATTGTAATAAATAATGACCAAGATTGTGTTAAGCAGAAGTTGTGAGCACCTTTTTCAATACTTATACTCCTTACAGTTCGAGAGCATTTCAGCTCATTGGGTTTATTTGACATTACCTAAAATTGTCCATTAGTATTTCTTTGAGTTCTTTCATGCCTTGATTGTGTTTTATGCAGAGCACAATTTAACCTTTCTTTGATTCATAATCTAGCACAACTTCAGGGGTCTTTGTCTGAACCTCAGTTGTACCACGCTGTATATAAGGCTTGACGTGGGAGGGTGACTTACAGTCATGCGGGCTCCCAGACATTCCTGTCTCACTCGATGTTTCTCTCATGAAGCTTCTGAGTGCCACTTTGCATGTCTCTTTGTTTTTACCCACCCTTGGCATTTGCCTCTACAGTGCTTCTCCTGTCTTCTACATTGGCAGGACTTGACTTCTATAGCCACTTGATTATATTCCTGATCACCTTTAATGTTTTTAAATTTTTCTTTGAACTTAATTTATTTTGCAGTGAGTTCTCACCACCTGTGGAAAATTCCAGTTACTTAAAAGCTGTAGCCAAACTAAGTTTCAGCATGTGGATATGTAGCTGGCCACTTTGTGTCCATATCAAATTCTACTGTAGCTGGGGATATAGCCCAGCAGCAGAAGTGCCTCCCTGGCAAGCGCAGGGTCCTGAGTTCAATTCCCAGTATCAAAAAAAAAAGCTATAACAAATTCCACTGTAGCCTTATGAACACAAGGGGGCGTCTGTGTAATTAAAGCAAATAGGTTTTAAAATGATTGAGCTGTAGAAAGAAGAGTTGTACAGAATGCTTTATGCAATATTAGATAGCTTTAGAGATTGCATCTGTGTAACAAGTCTTCTATGATGGTTGCCAAGTTTCCTCTTGGTACCTATCATAGCATACCCATAAGGTCCGTGTTACCAGCTTTGGATCTCTTTCCTTTTGTCTTTCCTGTCAGATCCTGTCCTGACCAACCTGTCCTCTCTGTTCCTCTCCCCTGCCCCTTCAGTACTGGTGATTGAACTCAAGGCCTTCATGCTGAGCTACTTCTCCAGGCCTTTTTTAAAATTTACTTTTTATTTTGAGTTAGGATCTTGCTGAGCCACTAAGTTGTCTGAGCTGGGCTTGAACTTGCGCTCTTCCCGCCTCTTATGTGGCAGAGTGCTGGGATGATAGGCACGGAGCACGCTGCCCAGCTTGGGTCTCTTTTGCTTAAAGCCAAAATATGTTCATATTTTCTCCTGTTTTAAAGATATCTAATGTAATATTTTAACATACTTTTCACAGAAACGGCTTAAGTAATTGTTCAACACTATCTCTGTGTCATGTGATTGAGAAGTAGAACAGAAGGTATCCTTTAGGAAACCTTCTACAGGAAGAAACACACAAAATTTATTATATGCCTAAGGCAGAGAAGTATTAGACTCCTTTATATGAAAGGTTTTTTTAAATTGCCATAGTAATGTTTTTGCCACTGGCTACCTTAACATGTAATCTTTCTTCTTTTCGATAATATAGTAATGTAGCATGAGGTCTTCTAAGGGAATTAATCAAAAAACTCTTTATTTTAACAGGTTACTTTTGACCCAGAAGTATTTTTCAACATATTACTTCCTCCTATCATATTTTATGCAGGATATAGTCTGAAAAGGGTAAGTGCTCTTGTATTTTACATATTTTGAATAGCCTTAAATTTCCCATGGGTTTTTATATATTTGATACGAAAAAAATTATTTCTTTCCAGATCCCTTTCCTTCTCTCCTAATTTTCTTTTAGATGCTGAAATTTTTGTGTGTATAAGAATACTTTCTTTCACTGATTTGTTTTAGTAGTAAATAATGTGTTTAATACATTGGCATAGCACACTAGAATAGAAAACCTTTTCTTGATCAAGCATTTGGTAAGTATTCTATCACAATGTAACTTTTTTTTCCCCCTACCAGAGACATTTCTTCCGGAACCTTGGTTCTATCCTCGCATATGCTTTTCTTGGAACAGCTATTTCTTGTTTTGTTATTGGGTAAGCATTTGAAGCTTGAACTGTTTTTTAGCCTTCAAATTATAATTCTAAAGTGATATGCTTTTGCTTACATGGTATTGTATTCCTGAATGTGTCTGTAGACTTTTGCAGTGAAATGCATTTACATAGGTTATATGTTGTTTGAATTGTCCTCAAGGCTAAGGTATTAACCATAAGTAAATGCTATGAGTTAAATTTGGGATTAGTCACAGAGTACTACAGTAGGTCTGTCTTTTGGGTGGTATGGGGAGGTGCTGAGGATGGAACCCAGGCTTAGCTATATACTGACCTACACCCGCAGCCCTAGATCCATCTTCTTATCCTTGCTCTATTTTAACTCCTTTACCAGTTGATATGTTTTCTAAAGTGAGAATGTGTTTATTGAACAGGTCGATAATGTACGGCTGTGTAACGCTGATGAAAGTAACTGGGCAACTCGCAGGAGATTTTTACTTTACAGATTGCCTGCTATTTGGTGCCATCGTATCAGCAACAGACCCAGGTATATTTTACAAAAGTGGAGCTGGAATACTTTTCCAGTAAAAGCGTATGTGGGTGTTTCTCCAAGGTATAGAATTCATAAGTAAGTACTTCCCTAGCATTATACTTTCCAATTGTGGAGGAAAAAACAGTTCATTTTTCCTTTTGGTTTAAAATGTTCCCATTGGTTTGAATTACTCTTGGTACAGGTGGTACAGTCATGCATGTACTGCTGATGGCTCAAGCCTCCTGGCAGTGAGACGTACAGATTATAGCCCTATTGTGAACATGTTACACATATATTTATGTTTTTCTTTTACTTCTTTATTACAGTTGCCTCTTACTGGTCCATAAGTTCATGCTGTGTATATGAAATCTGTAAGACATTTTATTCAGAAATTTAGGTTGTTTTCCCTAGTGATTGGACATAGAAGATGAGCTAGGTTATAGGCTTGCTAAAAGGGGTCTTAATTACACACTTCCTTTTAAACTTATAGAAAACAGTTCCCTAAAAATGTTTTGTTCATATTTAGCTATTTGCATTTAACAGCAAGAAAAGAACCCTTTAAATGATTATTATGCTGGGCATGGTGGCTCACACGTATAATCCCAGCACTCGGGAGGCTGAGGCAGGAGGATAGTTGCGAGTTCGAGACCAGCCTGGGCTACAAAGTGAGCTCAAGGCCAGCCTGAACTGCATAGCGAGACCCTGTCTCAAAAAAAACACAAACAACAAAACAAAAAATAAATGATTATTGTAAGGCAGCTGTGTCAATACATAGGGTCATAGGTGGTCTTCAGTACACATTAAATAATTATTTTTATAATTATTTTTTCTAAATTGGCCTTGTGGTTATGAAATTGTTTTGGTGTCATCACAGTTTGCTCTCCTGTAATTTTAGTGTTACATCTCTATAAATTGTGTTATAGAATGCATTTAATTGTGTTGAGTAAGGTTTTAATTTTTTTATTACAGTATTGGTAAGCTTACTAGCTACATTTAAATTAGGAATTTGAGGAAAATGTAGGATGAAGAGTTCAGGGTAGGAACAAAGACTGAAGGGTGTTTGTTTTTTTGTATCTGCTTGTTTGTTGCCTAGGATCAGACCCAGGGCCTTGCATATTCTAGGCTAGCAAGCTCCACTGACCTATGTCCCAAACACCAGACCTAAGTTTGAACTAAAGATAAAAGCTCCTTTTTTTTTTTTTTTTTACTGTGAATTAGGACTTTGGTGGAGGTTTTTGCTGTTTTACCTTTTGACCTTGTAAGTTAATCATCTTCTTTAATTGTCATCCTGCAGAGTTAAAGGTAGTATCTTAAGATTATCTCTGAATTCCTGTTAACTCTGAGAACACATGGTATTATGAGAAGGGGAAAATAAGTTCTGGACTGTGCCAGAGATGATTTGCAAAGATTACTGAGAGAGCCATTTGTGTAGTTTAGCATTTTTAGTGCTAGAAATCAAATTGCTTTCTTAAGACCGCAAAGGCTTTCCCTTTAGTGCTCCTAGCTGCTCCCATTGTCAGTATGAAGGTAGGAGGGCAGTTTTTGCAAACAGCCAGTGGCCTTTGGTTTTGGTGTCCTCTCACAAGAAGCAAGCTCCTCATTTTCTCAGTGTGTGAGAAATCGGAGTCAATTAGACTGTCTGGCTTACTTCAGCCTTCTGGTTTTGTCTTGGTAGGAGTATGTCTGGACAGTTCAAGCAAAAATCTTTTGCTTATATTAACTTGGAGAGTACAGTTTTTCTAAATTATGTAGGTGCTTGCTCTAATTCTATTATTTTGGAGTTGTTAACTTTCTAGGAGCATGAGCTATAGGTTTTCTTTTCAAAATTCTGCAGCATTGCTTCACTGTCCTCTTTCTTTTGGTAAGCTTTGGTGTCAGTGTATTCCAGCTGCAATGCTTTGCAGTAGAAATTATATCTTAAAACGCAGATTTCCTGTTTTCATGGTTGGCATTTGAAAAGGCTCTTCCATCTCTGGTTATATTAGTCTTTCATGTTTGCTTGGGTTTATTTAGTCGGTAAGCTGTATGTGACTCAGCAATTAAAGTTATAATGCAACTTCTCAATCTTATCTGATTTTTGAAGAATTCTAATATAATTGCTTCTGTAAAAGAAGCACTTATTTTTGTGGTTCTTTTTCCTTCTCAAGATGTAATAGCCTGGTAGTTAGATTCTTCAGTTAAATATGACAGCTCTAATTGTGGTCATAATTTTTAATCTAAGTCCAAAACTAAACCTGTATTTTAATTTCCTACTGTGTTTGCTAAACTGGTGTGTTTGCAAGTAAAGTATAAGTGAACTGTAAGGCTCTACAGAAAAAGAGTTTGAAGGAGAAGATGATTTTTTTTTTTGAGACAGGGTCTTGCTTTGTAGCCTAGGCTGGCCTTGAATTCCAGGTGATCCTCTTGCCTCTGCCTCCTGAGTGCTGGGATTACAGGTGTGTGCCACCATACCCAGCTGAAGTAGAAGATGCTTTTCATACTATTCTTCATTAAAAATGAAGGATTAGCTGATCTGTAAGAAATTCTAAATGTATTCTTAATGGAAAAAAAATGTGGAAAACCCATTCATTAACATTTGTATGAAGAATCTATGCCAGCTTATTCCTCCAAGGTTATTTTCAACTGTTTTTAAGAGAGAGAAAGGAGATATTGCATGTATATAAGTAGGGGGAAACTATTGACAGAAAATCACTGAATCTTTTTTTTTAAATCACTGAGTCTTTAATATGGTGAAAGAATGTTAAAGAGGGAGGCGTGAATTTCTAAATAACTATTTCAATCAGTTATTGAGGGGAATATGTTATATTTGAAATGTCTAACCATTCCTCTGACGCTTTCTACTTGCTAGTGACTGTTCTTGCCATATTCCACGAGCTGCAAGTTGATGTGGAGCTCTATGCACTTCTTTTTGGGGAAAGTGTCCTCAATGATGCTGTTGCCATAGTGCTGTCCTCGTAAGTAGGGTTTTTTTTTTTTTTATATTCTGAATGGTGCAAGCAAGGGTACTAGGAACTGAAAGTTACTTATTGAGTAAAGTGCATTATGAATAGAAACCTTTGGAAGGCTAAGCCTGTTTTTGCAGAAATATATACTTTAAAAATAACTTGGAAAATTCGGAGAAGGACAAAATACTGAGTGTCTCATCACCTAAAAATAATTACTCTAAATGTTCTAGGGCATTTCTTTTTACTCTTTTTTTTGTGTGTGTATGATATTTTTACATAATGGTGCTTATGTTGACTTGCACAATCTCTTAACATTATAACATGAACATTTTAATAGATTAATTTTTGAGCAAATAATATATTCACATGGTTCCAAAATAAAAGTATATAAAAACATTCATACATAAAAATTATTTTCTTGCCAGGTGTGGTATCCCATGCCTGTAATCCCAGCACTTGAGAGTTTGAGGCAGGAGAATTGCTACCAAGGGCAGCCTGGGCTACGTAGGGAGTTCAAGCCCAGCCTGAACTATGCAGCAAGAACCTGTCTCAAAAAATTAAAAAATAGAAATTACTTTCTTTTGTCCTCATCTGTCTCTCCAGCTCCTTAGAACAAAGCAATTTTATTAGTTTCTTATGGATCTCAGTGTTGATTAAGATGCAAGTACAAATATGAATAAATACCCTTATTTGCCTCTCATTCTTTATTTTGTTTTGTGGTGCTGGGGATTAAACTCAGGACCTCACACATGCTAAACAAGTGTTGTTCCACTAACCTACATCCCAAGACCCTCATTTCTTGTTTTGAAAATAGCTTACAATATATATGTACGATAGCATAAATATATTCTGGTGCTGTTTCCACATCAAAAGTGTATAGTATTCTGTACTATGTTCTATGTGATATTCTATGTATAAACTATACTAGAGTTTTGCTTAGTCTCTTATACTAGACACTTGAAGGGTTTTCAATCCTTGGCTATCCCAAATGATGCTACACTGATTAAACTTAAACTTTAACTTTGTAATGCATAGGTATGTGGTAGGCTAAATTCTCAGAAATGATGTTGGTGGTTGGTTTCATATAAACACATTTGTAATTGTGTTAAATGTTGCTAAATTGCCTAGGATAGTACCACTTTACACTTTAACCACCGAATTATGGGAACGTCTGTTTCTTCACAGCTTCACCAACAGAATATTTGTCAAATTTTTATATTTTTGCCACTTTGATAATTGAGAAGTATCTCATTGTAGTTTTCATTTGTGTTTCTCTTTTTTCTAACATAATCAGTTCAGAAACTATGTTTAGCAGTGTTAAGTAACACAGCTTTATTGAAGACAGTTACTGAGTAAGTAATACCTTTTATCTAAATATAGAAATTATACATTATTACAAGATGTTAGTAGGTGGAAGAATGGGTCTGACCCACTGAGGATCTCAATTCTGCCTACCCACTCTTACTAAGCAAATACCTAACCCTGTAGAAAGTTGACTTCACTTCATACTAGAACTTCCTGTAGAAAAGAAGTAAGAGCCCTTCTCATTTTCTCTTTATTTTATTGTTCTCCTTATTCCACTTTGTTACCCAAAAAAGAATAGTAAAGTACTAACTGGCTTACATAGCCTGATTGTCCCTGTGGCCTGATTGCAGAGTGGGAAGTTATCCTTTCTGAGATATAACATGAACTCCTGAGATGTTATATATCATAATATATAGAAGGTCAAATCTCCTTTGCGGGGGTGGGGGGGCACCAGGAATCGAACTGAAGACCTTGCACTTGCCAGGCAGGTACTATGTTGCTGACCTATATCCCTGGCCCCAAATCCATTTTTGTGAATGCAGTTTACATAAATGTTACCCTTTCTCTCCTATATTTATCACTAGAACTTTTTTGCTGCTATCTACAACCTAAATTTAAAAAATAAAATGCTAAAACTGTAACAAATATTGACAGTGAATGCAGGTACCTTCATTGAAGATAGGTACACAGTAAAAGTTGTATATTATATGAAGGAAGGAAGAAATGAATACTGTAATTGTACTTTGTGTGTTAGAAAACTGAAGTTATAAAGATTGCTGAAGCTTACAGTCCATAGGAACATGTGAGATCACTAGCACTGCTAAGGAAAAAAAAAAGAGTATGGTACAGGCAGTTATTTTTAGAATCATTTCTCTATGGTAGGGAGTTTATTGTTTAATCATTTTATGATTAATTTTTTTTAACACTGCCCTACTAGATTAAGAATTAATCAGAAAAATCTATTTTCTTCTGGTTCCATCTTAAACTTGGATACACTGTGTCTTAGTTTTTCTGTGGATAAAAGTAATCTACAGTGGACCCTTGAGTTCTGACCAGCCTCACACATGAGCAGTTTGGATTATGATGAGAATTCTAGGTTTAACTTACGAATAGTCTTGAGTTATGACCTGAATGCCGGCCACTTGTGTGGTTGTAAACAAAACTCATGATGCCAGAAAAGTATATGCAAGCATATGTGTCAGTCTGAGCCCAGATGTGCATATTTGTGGATGTAATTTATTCAGTGCTTTATATAATTGCTACTAGTACTGCTATCCAAATGGCCCCCAAAAAGCTACAAAAGAACCTAAGGAAGGAAAGAAAGGCAAAGAAAATAATCACAATTGAAAAGAAGAGGAAGGAAATTGTGGAGAAATATGAGAGTGGCGTTTGTGTGACTGATCTTGCTAATAATGTCCAGCATGTCAGTATCCACTGTCTCTGCAATCTCACAGAGAAAAGATTTGTACTAGAAGGAAGCTAGTGTTGCTAAATGTGTTACTCAAATTAGTAAGTCACAATCAATAGTGTTACATTAGTTAGAAAGGCTATTATTAGTTTGGATAAATGAACCTATAATTCAGGCAGATGACCTGAACCTATAATTTGTGAAAAAGCTAGTGCTATAAATGCAGATCTTATAAAGAATAATCCATCAACGAGTGATAATGGTGAAACATTTCATGCCAGTGAGGGGTGGTTTCTCAATTTTAAAGGAAGAACTGGGGTTCGTAGTGTAATAGGCATGGTGAACAGCCAGTGCATATACAACTTTGAAACAATGACACAGAGAAATGGCTTTTGTTCTCATCAAGTTTTCAACTGTGATGAAACTGGCCTTTCAGGAGGAGAAAATGCCCAGGAGAACATACATTATCCAGGAAGTGAATACCAGGTGACAAACCTGTGAATGATAGGCTAACCTTATTGCTATGTACCAGTGCTAGTGGTGACCTCAAGATAAAACTTCTCTTGGTTTATCACTCTGAGACCCATGGAGTATTCAGAAAACATAAGTTATGAAGAACAGGCTAGGGGCCATGTAGAGATCTGACATAAAAGCCTGGGTATTTTTTCTTGAGTGCATCAGGGAGGCTTTCTGTCCTACTGTTAAAAAATATTTAAAGGACAAAGATTTACCACTCAAGGCTGTCATTATGGACAATGCTCCTGCTTACAAGATTTGGAAGAATAGTTGGTTGAAAAATTCTCATAGCTCTCAGTCGAGTTCTTCCCACCTAATACAACTTCTCTATGCAGCCTGTGGACCAGCAGATCATAGCTAACTTTAAGAAGATATACATGAAGGAGCTGTTCTTAAAATGCTTGTAGATGGTCTCAGATGCAGGTTTAATCCTTAAAGAGTTTTGGAATGAATATTACACTATATGTTCTTGTGCACGGTTAGTCCTGGGCCAATATCTCTCTAAGAACACTGAGATCTGCCTGGAAGAAAGTGTGGCCTAAAATTATACAGGAAAGAGACTTTGAAGGCTGTGGAGGTGTCTGAGCCTTCAATTGACCCTGTGGTTGATGACAGTTACTCTAGCAGAGTCTATGGGCTTGCAGGTAGATAGTGGTGATGATGAGGAACTGGTGGGGGAACACTCAGAGGAACTGACTACAGAGGAACTTCAGCAACTTCTGGCTGAGCAGCAGAGAATGAGAATGGCAGCTGAGGAGCTTTCTGAAGGGGGTGTGGAGTATCAACAATTAGTGCAGCAGAGTTCTTCTGAAATAAAGGAAAACCTGAAAAAAAATGGGCAGAGCTACAAATGTGTAGAGAAGACCCACCAAGACAGAGAAAAGGCCAATCATTGCATTCACTTGCTTAATGACAATGTCATATCATACTACAGAACAGTGTTAAAGAAAAGACAGAAACAGGCAACCTTAAATCAGTTTTTAGTTCTGAAAAGATTGAGACCTAGTGAGCTAGAAGCAGGTCCTAGTGGACTATAGACTCTTCCAAGGACAGAGAGGACACCAGAGACTCAGATTCCTGATGTTCTTAGGGAAGGGGACTCTCCTTCCAAACAGTAACCACCTTCCATTTCGTCCTCCCTTCCTGCTAGCAAAGATGTCAACTTAATTGGTGAGTACAGTATGAAATTGTTGTTTCTGGTAAATTAGGCACATTTTATAACTTTTTGGTGAGTGCACTAGGAAAATTATTAGTGTCTCTGGTAAATTACACACATTATGCAATGCTTTTTATTATGAAAAGGTTAGTTAAAGGGTGCTTTGGGAGGTTCAGAATGCACTATGGGTATTTCCATTATTTCTTATGGGAAAAATAGTCTTGACTTACAACCAGTTTGAGTTACAGTCAGCCCTTGTGAATAAATAGAGTTTGTAGGTCAAGGGTCCAATGTGTTTCTTGCACTTTAGGAGCAGTTGATTAAAGAAAAAAAGAAAAACCTCACTGAAAGATTTTGAGATAGGTGATATGCATATCAGTGTTGAAGAATAAATGTGTTAAGAGAAAACCCTTCCCATATTACTTCTCTCAAAGGGCCAACCTCATCATATTACTATAGCCTTTCTGAAACAGTGTTCTGTGAGAGAATGAAGGCTTAAAGAAAACAACTTGAGTGATTTCTTCCTTAATTCTCCTAGGAGTGGTATATAGCTAGTATCATTTTGGCTTGGTAGGAAATAAATTAACTCATTGCATCCTGTGGTGGAGCCCTTGTGGAGAAGGA